TCACACCGCGATACTCAATTATGTAAGAAGACAGAGCTCTCTCTCTGCTCTGTGGGTCGGAAACACACTGCATTGTTGTTATTTTGGATTTGTAAAGTTTGTACAGGCAGAGATTAATTTGAGCTACATCTAAAGCTATTTATTACATTCTGCTTCCTCATTGACTTATGGCTCCTTTAATTTGTCATGATAAATGAAACGGACACACTACAGGCAATACAAAAATGCACATTTTGCGGTTTAATGTTGTGATCTTTGGGCTATGTTGCCTCAATATCATGTTTCCTTTCAAAATAGTAAGAATAAAACATCCAAAATACATAATAAGGTGTATATTTAAGTGTGAACAGTGCAGTCACAGAGATTCATGTCAGCATTTTAATGCTATTTTTAAATATTTCTTCAACATTCCCTCGAGGGTTCTTTATTTTATCACAATGATTGAAAGGGGACAAAAAAACATGCTATTTTTTTTATCATGTGCTGGTTAATTTTGAGGTTTTGATGTCAGACCAGTGGAAAGGAAATATCCACCATGACACATAATTAGGATTATATTTTACTTATTTAGTCTAATTGTGTCTGTAGATTTCCCATAAATGACCCAAACATTGGCACAAGATAATGCCTCATTTGCATATTCAAACAGTATTTCAGAAAACTTGCAAAACGAAAAATAATTGTCTTAATGTCAGTAATGAACTTGGGAGGTTTCATGGAAATTAGTTTATTTGTTTACCCCATCCACCTGTAGTGCCTCTCAGCTCACTGACATGATGCAGACCCTCTTCTCCTCACTGCAGCCATTCTTTCAGATCAACTCTCCACCTTCCCTCGTGCACTTGTAAAAAAACGTCTGCACACAATGCAACAAGGCGTTAGCTTCTCTGTAGGCTAGGTTTCCTTAGCAACATGTTACGTGGAGGCTCCACGTAACATGTTGCGTCTCCACTGGAGACAGAGGAGGCTGTGTGAGCTCGGAGGTGGAGACTAGGGACAGGGACATTTCAGCAAAAAAATAAATAAGGATTAAACTAATTCTGTTTAGCTCAGTTAATGGCCAATACTCAAGTGCACCACACGCAGAAGAGGCATTGCTCCACTTGTTTAAAAAATGATGCTCCTCCTGTTACATAATCTGCAGCATTAGCGTCCAAACATAGTGCCTCACACACTGTGGAGTGTCATCAGAGAGACAAAGAGCCCTTGGGTGCCTGCATGGTCTCATCAAAGCACAACACAGCATTCTGCACGCACTCACTTCATTATCAACCTCCACCATCACAGACATGAGCAGTTTTTTACATGATTAACCCAAAATTGATTCAGAAAAGTGTCATTTTATATCAAATCCCTCCCTAATGCTGCACCGAGACAGCAATCGATGCCCTTCCTGTTTTTAAAGCTAAATATCGTGACACTTTAGCCTCTAAATCAGGATGTTGGTCACCATGTTTATGTAGCTTCAGGTATAAATGTTGTTTTTAAAAATTGTATTTCGGCCATTTTCTTTGTACCAGACATAACAAAGAAAGTCCCCCCGGTGGCCGCATGATGTGGGGGGGGGGGTGATAATTGAGAGGATGTCTCCATCTGCTGCACACACACAGGAACTGCTGCATGATGTAACAGCAGGGAGCTCACAGGTGCTAACGTGGCTATCCTGATTGTAAGAGTGCTCTTATTATGCTCTCATACTCTACACTTCACAAGATGGAGAAGATGATTGGTGCCAGATCAAGTGCCTTCATAACAGAATCATCATGGAAAATAACTTGATCATGTCATTTAAAAGATGAATACATCACCTACAACCATAAAACTATCAGTAGCATTATTATACACGACTACATTATAAAAAAAACTCTCCTTGTATTTACTGGTAAAGTTTGCTGTTTTGTAGGTCAACCTGGTTTTATCTTCAGCAGTAGGAGGCATCAGTGTTGTATATGAAATATCTTACTGCCGATAAAGTTGATTTTTATGGTCTTTTATTGGACATTTTACTTTAGCTAGAACTCATGTTTACATGAATTACTTTATTGATCTATTTTCCTTTAAAGGAGAGGTGTCATGGCCATTTCCACTGATCATAATTCCATTGTTGAGGTATACTAATAACCGGAAAAGCATGACACCTCTCCTTTAACATTTGTGTGTGTATGTGCATAGTTTCTATTCAATTTCTAATTTAATTTATAACAATTTAGCTTTTTATAACCTTATAATCAGCTTGTAAACCAGCTACATGTGAAACAAAATGGAACGCATCTCACAAACCCAACTCTGTTCTTGTGTCTTAAAATAAGAAAACTTTATTATCAATTAAATTACATGAAATTATGGGAAAAACAACCAGCCCAATTTTCATTCAACTTGAGACAGAACTCCTTTCAAATGACACACCTTTTTAGTGACATAATGTAAAGATGAAGAACTATGACCTTGCGTAGAAATGAAAGTATTGGACACACAGTTGTTTATGTAAAGCTTGTGGATTTAATATGGCAATTTTCACCAGCAGATAGAATCAACACACAGGATTCAGTCCAGCTAAGTAAAATAAACGCACCACTCAGAGATCAGGGACACTACAAAATACACCTCTGACTCATCAACCCCCCCAAAATAAATGTTATATATCCTGTATAACACTTCCTCAGTAGTAGAAGTACAGCATCAGAAACAGAGCAGCACTCCAGGCTTTGCATCGTGAAGAAACATCCACAGAAAGACACGTCCACCAAAACACCAGAGAGACGACTACACAACAGCTTCTGTGTGTACAGTATGAGAAGAAGTATTGTGTGTACTATATGAAAAGAAGTACTGCGTGTACTGTATGAGAAGAAGTACTGCGTGTACTGTATGACAAGTGGTGGAACAATACTCCTTTACTTCAGGAATACTACAGTCTAAAACTACTCCATTACAAGTCCTGAAATCAATAAAAATGTACGAAGTATTATCAGCTAAATGTCCTCTCATAAGCACTTGTTATGCAGAATGGTTCTTTTCACAGTAATATAGTATTATAATGTTTTATCCCTCACAAATACATGTACTGTAAGAGCATTTTATATTGTAGTTTGTTAATGTTGAACTTGTCAAAGAAGCAGAAATACTACAGTCTTAAAATACTCAAATACAAGCCCAGAAACCAATAGGTTACTCAAGTAAAAGTGAATAATTAGTATCAGGTAACTGTAATTAAAGTATCAAGATTAAAGGTATCGTTAGAATAACTTTGTTTCACAGTAATATATTATTATAGAATATTATAGTGTTAACACATACATGTACTGTAAGAGCATTTCAATGTAGTAGTTTTTAATGTGGTACCACTTTTAGATACTTCTAAAGTGGGTTGATTTGTAGTGAAGTACTGCATTATTAAAATATATAGATTTTTTAAATGAATATTTTTTAACATAAACTGAAACGCATTTATGAAGTATTTTATAACTCTCTGGTTTTGTTTTTTACTCTTCTTTTATTAATATCCTTATTGTTTATTTCCCTGCACTTTAACACTGTTAACACTTTATTGCTCGATTTTATTTAACATTTACTACTTTTAACATTTTAGTGTATTCAACTGCTTGTTAAGCACCTTGCGATGCATTTCATTTGCTCGAAAGGAACTTTATAAATCAAGTTGTATTGATTGTATCATCTATTTTTAAATACTTCACTACTGTATGGATTCAGCATATTAGACGTTAAAGGCTCCTGAACACGTTGACTTCAGTCACTTTTAATTGTCTGTTTCGTCTCCTAATATGTGTCCTAGTTGATGTTGCAAATGGAGCTGCTGTGATGCAAGAACAATGATGTCTCAGCACAAAAAGCAGCTGGAATATGAAACGTAGTGCAGTGAAAAGTATGACGTTTACGACTGAAATGCAATGGAGTAGGAGTATAAAGTAGCATTAAATGGAAATACTCAAGTACATGAAATCAGTACTCAGTTACATCCCACCACTGTGTATGACACACACACACGGGTTACACTACAACACAGTATATATACAGTAGCAGTGACTCTCAGTTTCTCTCTGTTCACAGCTCTGTGTGTGTGTTAATGAGTGTGAACACACTGGTTCTCCGTGCTGAGAGGCAGAAGGCGACTGTGCTGCCATTTTTTTTTTTTTTTCGGTGACTCCAAACACATTTTCGCGGTCGTGTCGCTCCCTCTCGAGTTCAGCCGGCGGACATATGCTGCTGGAAAAGCCCTGCCGAAGTTTAAGTTCATTTCCTGACAAATGTAGCATCTGCAGGTCCGCAGAAAATTAGAAAAGTGTTTTTTTTATCTTTATTTACACTTCAAGATGATACCTCCTATTAAAACTGAGGAAGTCAATAACAGTACTTCACAGAGAAAGAACACAACACACGTTTCGGGTTGTGAACTGCCACCAGGCACATTTTCAGAGGTTTGGAAAAGATTTTTTAAAAAGGAAATTTGACATTTCTCTGTGTTATAATGATCAGGGTTTATATGACTGGCAGTGGGACACTACGCTCTAAAGAAAAGTATCAAGATTAAGAGTATTCACCTTGAAAAAAAGTATTAAATCCCTGTTATAGGATCAAAAACAGTCTGTAGTGAAGGGTAAAAACTGTCCATTTAACATGTAGATATACTGTACAACAGTCTCAGATTGTAAAACATACAGTAGATCGTACACATTTAGTGTAAAAGCAGAGACGACACAAACAATTCCCAGTTTCCTTAAATCTAATCTAGCATCCAGCTCAATGCAAAGGAACACACATCACCGTAAAACAGCAGGAGCACATTGTCTATCAGTTTGTTCTTAAATAAATCATACAAAAATAGTGTACAATCTGTCATGGTCCCTTTGATTCTCAGTGTCAGTGGTGGGTTTATAACTCACACACGTACACACACGTACACACACGTACACACACGTACACACACACACACACACACACACACACACACACACACACACACACACACACACACACACACACACACACACACACACACACACACACACACACACACACACACACTCACACACTCACTCACTGGGTCATAGCTAAGTGACGTCTGGAGTGCTGGTCCTCGGGGAGTTTCTGTTTCTCTGGTGGAGCTCAGCTGCTTCTCAAACAGTCCGACTCTCCACAGACCTTCCCTCTGTAACTCGTCCCGTCTCTCAGGTAATCTCTGCAGGTCTCCGGGGAGGAAAATAAACCATCTTCCCTCCGATCCCTACGATCCCTCATTCCCCTCGGAGCCCTCGGGCGGCGCTGGAGGCCCCTCCGCCGTCGGGGACTGGGCCCCTCCAGGACCATCTGTGAACAAACCCAAAAAGTCACTCTGAAGGACACGAGGCAAAAGGAGCATTGACAACATTTGATATTTTATATGTCTGTGTTATGTGTAAGAACGTGTAACGTTGCTGCCTTCTTGGCCAGGTCAGCATTGTAAATGAGATTTTGTCTCAATGTTTTCACCTGGTTAAATAAAGGTTAAATAAAAATGTGAGGGTATAGGAGGGGAAACAGTTAAATCCCAAATTTAAAACTTTCAATTTGAAGACTTTTCTATTTAAAATGTTGAACCTCGAAAACATTTTAATACTTTTACATTAAACACTTTAACCTTTAAAACTGTTTTAATACCGTTATATACAATTTTGTCACTTATACCTATAAAAACCTTACCTCTAAAACCTTAAACTATAAAACATGATAAAGTAGTTTGTGCTTACTTTAGTTTGTTTGCACTTGCATATACAGAATCCATCAAAAACATTGAGACGTTGGATTGGAACTGATTAGCCTTTGGAGCATGCAAGACAAATTGTGTCATCAGTTCTGATTTACCAGCGTGATCATTAACTCGCTATCCACAAAAACACTCTGTCTAGCAGCAGTCTAAATGTTCCTGTTGTAGCCACACTCATGCCAGAGTCGTGATGAATGTTTTCTGCCAATTTTAGCCAATTCCCAAGTGGCCCTCCAAGCCCAAACACGGACCAAATGTTTCTTACTAAAGCTGATCTGAACCCTAAATCAACGACAATCTGTGCAAAAATCTGGCAGCCATATTTGTATCAGACCATGGGGACGAGTGTCACAGCGGGTTGTAATAAAATACACATGTAAAGAGCAGCGTCAGATTTTGGATTATTGAATACAAATAATCTATGTGGAAAAAGGGTTATTAACACTACTTTATGATTTTTCAAGTAAAAAAGCTAAAGTTGGGCTATAAAGGAACTACAGCACGGTCACATGACTTCGCTTCACCACCTCTAAGCTAAAGGTGGCTAAAGTCGGGCTATAAAGGAACTACAGCACGGTCACATGACTTCGCTTCACCACCTCTAAGCTAAAGGTGGCTAAAGTCGGGCTATAAAGGAACTACAGCACGGTCACATGACTTCATGTCTCCACCGCTAAGCTAAAGGCGGCTAATGTTGGGCTATAGAGTGGCGAAGTCCCTCCCCTTCCGGTGGACCTCCATGGGACCTTATTTCGGAAAAATTATGTATTGAAGTCAATGGAGAGAGAAAGATTATCTTTCGATCCCGTTTGAATTGTGCCACGAATTACACATATGTTGTTTGTCAATTTAAAAGATAATTTTGCAAGTCAAAAAAAAAAAAATGTGTCGTAAAACTGTGAAGTAACACATTTGTTTGTGTGAAACGCTCAATGAACTACATCTCTGGTCAACAACACACGTCACCAAGATGGCCGTCACTACTGTCTTGTCAACACAACGATTGACTTCCCTCACTATTACCACAATGAAACACGTCCTGAAGAAAGTCATGCAAAGCTGCCTGCCTGCCTTCCTTTGATTCTCTCTGAACTGCCTGGTCGTTTTAATGTTAAATGTCAACCATTTGTGCAGATAGCATGAAGTAGAGAAGATCGCTAGCGTTAGCGTTAGCATTTCTCCCCCGGGCTTCAATTGTGTATTATAGAATGATCACACCGGTGACAGTACTCTTCAAAGGGTTCACGAAATATGACTACTACTCTTACTGTTTAACATTGTGGGTTACTTAATGTTACTTCATGTTAAGGCTAATAAAAATGACAAGGCTGTAATGCTAACTAACGTGCTAGCTACTAGCTAGCTTGATCCAGAGTACTCCTGGTCCTTTCATCAGACGGGAAGCGAAAGAACGAGCAAGACCCATTGCTGGTATAATAACAACCTGGTACTAAGCACACAGGCATCTTGTTAAAGTTATCTTATTTTAGCCAGCGCTATATAGATAGATTATATCTATATGGCGCTGATCTTAGATCTTAGTGGAGGAAAACAATTGTGACATCACTTACGCGACTCTGGGATTTGTAGTCTTTCTAGTTACGTATTTTTCATAGTCTTATATTTCAACAGTTTTACGACAAACTGTGACTTTTTTGACATGGAAATGATTTTTTAAGATTGACAAACATCATATGTGTAATTCATGGCAAACGGGATCGAAAGATAAGTTTTCTCTCCCCATTGACTTCAATGCATAATTTTTCCGAAATAAGGTCCCATTACCCGGAAGTAAGTGGGCGTGACTTCGCCACTCTATAAAGGAACTACAGCATGGTCACATGACTTCACTTCACCACCGCTAAGCTAAAGGCGGCTAATGTTGGGCTATAAAGGAACTACAGCACGGTCACATGACTTGACGTCACCACCGCTAAGCTAAAGGTGGCTAATGTTGGGCTTGATGACGTTTAATCGTCTCATTTAGACACATTTCAGTTCAAAAATCACAAATTGGGTATTACCGGATGTAAAACGTTAACATCTCTTCAGCTTGTGTTAACCACAGACCTTATTTCAGACATCCGACCATGATCTGACTTTTAGACAAGGGATGGCATAATTGCTGACTCATTTCTAGGATTAGGACTCCTTCCTTCAGCAGATAATTATAATAATTAAAAAGAGCACATCATGTACGTTACCTTTGAGGGTCATCTCAGCCAGTTTCAGAGGCAGGTCTCCGGGGTTTACGCCTGCCGGAGACCCCAGGATGTCGGGCAGAGCGTTCCTCCGGCCCGACCGACCCGAGGTGGCGAAGTCCAACACGGGCTCCACCTCCGTCATCTCAGGACCGCTCTGAGGTCACAGAAAGAGGCAAGTTAGGACAAGTAAAATCAGCCTAAATTAGTGTATAATAGGCTTACAAGCCATCAGGCTGCACAACAAGGGGTCAACAATGTGACAATATTACTGGACATAAAATACACACTGTTTTCACACACACATGTAAATAATATGTACACATGAGGGACTTATGTAGTTAATTCAACATCATTTCAATTTTTTTACCTGTAAATGCTAACAGTTAGCCATAATATTAGCTGAATAAGCATTAGCTTTGTTTATTTTTAAGGAGGAGCATTTGCAGTATCACACATTGGCACAAATGTTGTTCATCTATAATAATAATAATAATAAAAATAGTAGTGGATTAGTAGATAGTGAGTAGATATGTCTTGTAAACCATTACAATCAAAATCAATAGTATGTTTGATTATCACATAACATAATATCCAAATGCAATACAGTAAAGATAATTCTACACCCCAACTAAGTCATAGTGCATTTAAATGATGTAGTAATGATATTATTTGCCCCCCCCCAGCCTGTGTCTAACCTCATAGAACATTCATGACATTACATTTGACCAACGTTTCAGTTTTTGAGAAACAGAGCACATTTATCTCGACGTGTCTACAAAACGCTCCTGATCGGGTTTAGATATTCGAGCATCCAGAGAGGAAGGAGATTATCAGTGGAGCGGAGGATGTGTGTGTGTGTGTGTGTGTGTGTGTGTGTGTGTGTGTGTGTGTGTGTGTGTGTGTGTGTGTGTGTGTCTGCTCTCATGGCAACCAGCAGCTGGGGAGTCAGCTCAGGGCTGCATGGTGACAAGCAGAATTACATCCCCTGTCACACGTGCACACACACACACACACACACACACACACACACACACACACACACACACACACACACACACACACACACACACACACACACACACACACACACACACACACACACACACACACACACACACACACACAAATAGCCGCTGTTGCCATGGCAGCAATGCAGAAAAAGGCACCACTGGCAGGTAAACATGACTCAAATCCTTTCTCCCTCTCTACTCTCCCTCACGTTCCCCGCCCCCCCCGTCTCCCCCTCTGCTGTTGTGTCGCCTCGCTTTAAATAACCTTATTCTGGGGAGAAAACATCCCGTTTCCATCTCTCTCTGTTCATCAAAGGAACGACATGTGAGCTAATGCAGCACTTCAGGTCTGCAGGAAAAAGGGCCACAGGTTAGCCATCTGTTAGCCTGCAGCGCTACTGTAATGTAGCCCATGGCATATTAAACAATCAACACATTTATTTGTTGATAAGAAAATGCTTATAATGCTAATGCTGCATCTGTCACATTTAATCAAACAAAGCCCATCATTTGCAATTGCAGTAGCCAGTCTCCATCTTTGTGTCGGATGAAAGATGTTGAGACATAATATTGTTTTTTATTTGGCTAAAAAAAGGCCACTACTATGCCTTATACAAGCTTAATGACACAAGCACACACTGCTATAACAGTGTGTGCTTGGGATAAGATATATCAATCATTTATGTTTATTATAGTTAGCAGTTTTTTTATTTAACAAATGCTACCTATTGACATTCTTCCCATAACATGCAGTCACTGCTTATAGTATAATTATGAGAAAGTGTTGGAGGAAATATGTTTAAACCCGTTCCTTATTGTGTATATATTCAAAAAAGGCCACTACTATATTTTATATGGGCTTTAATCACATGCTACATTAGCGCTTAAGGCTAACAGTTTGTGCTGTCATCATTTATGCTAATTGTAACTAGCACGGCTGATTTCATTATTAAATAAATGCTAACCTGTCACCTTGAATCAAACAAAAAGCCCACAAAAAGTCCCACAAATTTATGATAAAATATCAAATAGCTAAATATATTTCTGAATATTTTGTGCATGTAAACACTAACAGAAAAGCTATCAATCATTTATCGTTATAGCTAGCACAATAATTTCATAATTAGCATGATTGTGTTGGAAGAAATATGTTTGAACTTATTGTTTTGTGTTTATAGAGACATGTTTTGTTAACAATTATTATACATTAAAGGTAGGGTAGGTAAGAATGGAGAAACCCACTCGAGTGCATATATTGTGTATATGAAAGTACACAACCGAAAAAAATCTGCCCCTTCCTTCAGACTTCCTTACAGAGCCCCTCCTCCAACACACACGAACGCGCACATGACCAATGAGGGCACGAGATAAGTTTGTGCACGAGATGGAAGGCTGACAGGCAGGTAGGCCATCCAGTTATTTTAGCCGGGCCGGCTCAGATGATTGGTCGTGCTTTTTACAGCGCCACGGCTTCCACAGATGACATTTTTTTATGTATTTATTGTCAAAGCATTTCATATATTCATTGCTATCGGGATGTTAAGAGCATTCCATGGAATATAACAAAAAGTGCCTCTGAAGTGAATTACCTACCCCACCTTTAAGTTGTGGCTTGAATTAGCTTAAAGGCTATGCTACAATAGAGCTCATAGGGCTAACAGGTGGTGTTGTTATCAATCATTTACTGTAATCATAGCAAGCACACATCATTTGAAGGTTGACTAAATGCTACATGTGGCTTTTATTGATTGAAGGTGGCAGCTTGGTAGACATGATTGATAGCTTCTCTTTAACAGCACTAACATGTCATATAAAAATAATGTATATATGTATCCACGTCAATCAGAAAGCATATTTCCTTCCTGCCCACACAGCATCTTAATGTAAAAACAGTAAAACACTAAATATTAATACATTTATGATTTATTGATGGCGAATGCTGTTTCACTGTTAATGTTTTACCCTGTCTAACACCCTCAGTCTGACCTGGGTCACAGCCACGGTTTACATACTGAGTCATTATTTTTTCAAACGCACCCTCCATAATCTTTCACAATTTGATATAAATATGTTTTGTTACTGTTGGGAAAATACTGAATGCACTCTTCCAATATGAGAGTACACATGATAACAAAGGTATCCCAACTGTAGCTGTGTACATGACAGGATGTATGATTACCTAGAAGAGCATCAGGACTGTTTTAGGCATATGATAGCTATGTGATTAACATGATGATTCAGCCTCTATGGAGATAGACATATGACAAGCATGATCATTTCTGACGTGGAGCTAATCTGAAGTAAACATTGAATACTGCTTTCTATTCCTCCATCTTGTGACTGTGTAACTCCCTCTCTTGTATATCAGCATGTGAAGGACACTGTTCAGGAACTAGTTGATGCTCTGTATGTGATGACTACTTCCATTCCTGAGAGGATCAGAAATACATGGATCCTGAGATTGAAGCTCAAGCCGGTGACCAGTGATATTTTCCTAACAGTTACAGATTTAATTTACGCATATTCCCCTGTATTCTGCATATATTGTCGAAATAAACCTTAATAATTATATCAGCATATTCCATATTCCATGTCTTAATCTGAAAATGCCACAATCAAAATAAGGTTAATTGGGAACATCGAATATGCTGCATGACCTAGTGTTATGAGCGGTCAGAAAGATCAACACGCATCCACATTAATGATCAGATATCGCCGTTTATTTAAAGAAAAACAGACAAAATACTGAACAAAACTCTTAAACAAAAGATTCGAAGCCATACGGCGTATATCTTGGGTACATTTTTCTCTTTCACCACGCGGTCTCTATCGTGTGGTTAATAAATTGTTTGCCTTCCACTCATCGTGAGCACCTGTCACCTGTCATCTATTAAAGGGTTAGCCTATGTGACGTCACCATAATAATACATTGATAGTCGGCATCAATCAAAACAATAATACATATAAATAATAAAACATCATATACAAAACATTCACAATATTTCCTTATAAATAGAAATATGATAGAAATTCAAAATGGCTTCAACACCTGGGAATTATTGTCACATTCAGAGTAATTGTGTGTTATTAGCATGTTAACGTAGCATATGGCTAATTCTAACTTCAGGTTTCTGTAGCTCTCCAGTGTTCCTCTCTCTAGCTGCAGATTACATTCACCCTTGAAGCCAGAACATTGTTCCAGTTTCTCCGGCCTCACGTGACGAAGCTGCTTCTTTGTCCTGGATCAGAGGGCAACAGAAGCTTTAATAAGCTCTGATAAGAGGCTGAGCAGCAGGAAGGAAACTCAGTGTAACGTGTCTCACTTCCTGCTTTAGTCCATCAGACAGACTTTACCTAATATCCTGGAGACATCTGCTATCTGTTAATCTGGCTAATTAAAATGAGACTGTAGCGGAAATACTGACCTGCAGGTCTATAAGGAAGTTCCATTTAATAAAAGCAATCAGGCCACTATGTGTGCTGATTTCAGATATTTAGATTATAATAGATCAGATTGATGTTATTGATCACAAACTGTTATGTTACGAGGAGGCTGTGGCTCAGTGGGATAGTGCGCTGAACTTATTGCGCTGAAATTTGAATCAGGGGATAGCAAGTTCGAGTCCCACTGCAGTCAGCATGTCGTTGTGTCCCTGAAGACACTTCACCCCAAATTGCTCCTGTGGGGATTGTCCACAGTACTGAATGTATGTAAGTCGCTTTGGATAAAAGCGTCTAACAAGTGACATGTAATGTAATGTCACAGCAGCATGCTAATGAGGCATTGCACATTCATCTAAAATAAAATAAGGTACATATAAACAGTAAATAAATACAAATCAACAGTGGACGATAAACATCTTTAGAGTATCTCTATCAAATATTTGTCTTGAAGTAATTTATCCTATATACATTTTCTGGTTCTGAAAAGTGGAGATTTGTATGATTTTCCTTCAACTTTTTTCAGCAATTTAATGTATTTTTTAGTTTTTTAAACATTGTTAAGTTGTTATTTTGAGCTCTGAGCAATTGCATTTGAATTTCTTAATATTTTAACTACTTTTACAAACCAAACAATAGATAAATGAATGGAATAATCTAATAATATATATATTTCTGCACATTTTCAATGCAGGACTTTCAC